TTTCACTTAAGTTTAGGATTAAGTGACCTGTTTTTGCAGATTCAACTAACTTGATTGCAATGATAAATAAATGTAGAGATTGAATGAATCCAACAACAAAATCATTAAACCTTAAAACACTAAAAAGTCATCACATAATGTATTTATTAAGGCAYCAGTACATATAATAACAGTGGTATTTTACTGTACTTCATACATCGATATATGTAGCTGAGCAAAATGTGGCAATTTGTCACAAAAAATCCCATCAGAGCAGCTTTTAATCCATTCAGGCCCGAGGCACGCTCTAAACAACTGCAATGCTCATATATTCCATCAGTTCCTCAGTGAGTCACTGGATGAACAGCCTTGTGGTTTCACTTCTTTTTGCTTACTTGTTTCATTGATCACAAATAGGAAATGGGTTTAGTAAGTGTGTGGCGTGACTCACRGATTGTGTATCCTGGGCTCTTGTGCAGCACATAAAAAACTTTAGTCTCCTGCTCCAGCTGCTGGCCTGTCCTTCTTCTAGTCTGTGTCTGATGGAAAGAAAAAAAAGGCAAAGGAGGAATAAATTTGTGTGGAAAAACAAAAACAAACAAAAAAAATCAGGAGACTTGAGTCAAAAGAAAAAGCCACAGAAAATAAATTTAAGAGCTGGTTAGTACCTAAGAGTATACGTAGTGAGGTTACGCTGACGCCGACGGGTTGCTTTCAGTTTGACAAAAGTCCGACCCGTTGGATCAAAAGTGCACATGAGGGTGATGCAAACGCTCAGTATCACAAGCCAGTTGCATGCAACAATTCCTGCAAAAAAAAAGTTAATACATTCATTCACATCCAAGCATGAACTCATTTAACTAATGTTTCCTTTCATATTCTTTTCTCACCCAAAGCCAAGTTCTTGGCTGTGACGTCAGAACACGGCTGATAATACTGGACAAGCCAAGCAATTCCTACTACAGCATATACAAGCTCAACCAATAAGATAGCTAGAAAAAAAAGAAGGAGAGTAAGTGGGGAAAATAAGGATAAATACTGGCTCAAAGGTTACTTATTCATGTCTAACATCAAAACTCTGCGACATAAAAATGGACACCAACATAGTCTTACCTAGTCGTATATAGATGACATACTGCACAGCTTCCCTGGGCTGCGTGTGCAAAATGCTGCCCCTCATGCTCAACCACATGATGGCACTCTCACATATAAGGCAGCTAACCAGGATGCCCAGGTACCCTCGGCCATGGTCCACCAGCGTGACAGAACATGACTGGTCTGAGCCATATCGAAGGCCAAAGAGAACCACGGACAGAACCACCAACCTGAAGACAGAAGACAAAAACAATGAAGTGYGAAGCCTGCTGAAGAAATGCACGTATAATATCTGCATATTATACGTAACACATAAACAAATTATTCGAACATTATGAACAGGCTACTTTAGGTTAGATGCAATGGTTTTGAAAAAAATGTTTAGAAAGATGGGAAGACTCAAATAAAGAAAACATTTGTTCGATTGCCAGGGTGCAGACGTTCAGAGCAGAAGATCGTGTTACAACAAAAGAAGTACTGAGGAAAGTACTGAGGTTGATTCCACTTATACAGTARGTCTCTGATTTGTCAGTGAGTAGTCACATATTTGAGGTGGCATGTATGTGTTAAGTGGGGTTGAAATGACCAGCACACCAATCTAAAAAAAGGACAGGATTGTCACCCTGATGATTACATAATGCAAGCTTATGTGCAAATTATAAAAAGGGAACAGAATCGGCTTTACAAAGATGTTCTTTGTTCAAAAGGGTTATGGCTGATCAGTGCATGTACAAATGAGAAAAATATGAATAAGTCAAAATAAAAATAAAAAAACAACTGCTGACTCACCAGACGCAGTGTATTAAAAAAAGGAAGAGGGCGGGCAGCACCAGGTCATCACTGCCAACTGACCAGCGCCGCCGAAACATCACCATCCCAGGCATCACTGTCCTGTGGGAAAACAGACGGCAGGGACAAATTACATCACTGCTTCCTTGTCTCAAAACTCACAAGATCTTATTTCATCAGAGGTATTTATTTTCCAAATATTAAACCTAACATCCTGCACACCAAGTGTCACATCTTTTAATAGAAGGCGCTTCTCTCGGGTTTAAATCTCAACCAGCTGAGGACAGTGATAAAGAAACAACTGTGGTTGTACTGTACTTCAGGAGATTTCTTTAGACTACATTATCGAACAGATATGAAAAGTTCATCGTGTTAGATCGGTTACGTTCAGAATCTTTTTTTGGGTTTCTTAAACTTGATACAGGGCTGCTGGGAAAATATAAAAAGACCTTCACTGAGGACAATGATGAAAAACAATGGAAGAAGGAGTCCAGGAAGATGAAAGGATCCTGTAAAGAAGAACAAGCTTTAYTATATAATATATTATGACCAAAAGAAGGCTTCTTTTATGTTAGGCAAACTTTTGAGAACAATGTAAAATCACTGAAGTTGCCTCAGGGGTGAAATAATATGAACTATAAAAGAAAGACAGACTAAAATAAGAGCAGTGAGACCAACAGGGAGGATTTTTGTCCTGATACAACTACAAACTGTTTAAAACTATTATGATGCCTTCATTTAGATGAAAACTAACAACCAGTCTTTTCACATTCTTTAAAAATAACTTTAAGCTGCTAAACAGATGCATTATGGCAGCATTGTGCTTGCATAAAAGACAGAAAAGGTTGCATCATCGTTTGGTTCACTATGGTTCACTTAGGACTGTTCAAATATACCCTGCTAATTATGACACAAAAATATTACAACAAAAAATGTAAAACATATACATTTATATTTTTTCAGTGTCAAATATTAAATATAATGCAGGGCATTTGCTAAGTGGAGTAATGTGTATTAAACTCCTTAGACATGATCACCTTTGAATACAGGTTTTCTCATTCTTAATAAATTATTTTTCTTCATGAGGAAAACCACAATTTGAGTAACACAGTAACACTGACTGAAAACAAAGCACTTTTAACACAATGTATTTCCCTTTTATATTGACCCGCTAATTGAAATGATAGTCACTTTGTAGCCATGTACAGTATGCTGAATCTTTGAGTGTCAAACCCATAACATTCAGCTTCTGGAGAATTGCATGTAAAACTTGGCATAGAGAGGAATTAGTTAGTGGTAAAACTAGTTTTGTGGTAGTATGTGAAGACAACTATTGAAACAAAGCATAACTCGCTAACTGAGGGTGAAATGATTTATGCAACTGCAAGAAATTTCCCATTTAGTAGCAAGGATGTGTTGTGATTTGTAGAAAATTCAAATTCCAAAACCTTTTCACCACTATTATGTCAGCTAAAYCTCCCAGATGCTTGTAAACTCTGCTTAACACAGGAATAAAAACAGTTCGTAAAACAAACACAACTGTAAAGGTTGATATGAGCCGTCAGGCTTGCCCTCGTGATTTTGTTCTGATGTCAGAAGATATCCAAAGGGGTTTATCCTAAAAAAAGAATCACCAAGTATTTTGTAATATCATGCTGCACAAGTGTAGCAGTACATACTGATTGCTTTCATAGTATGTTTACAGACAAAATGTATTCTCAGTAACAACTAACTGTTTTTGTTTGGCAGATTTACAGCCACAGAAGACAGACAGTACCTGTGAAATCACTCAAAACACAATGCACATAAAAAAAGGACAAGACAGAAAGATGTTTTAATTGATAGTAATGCTACAGTGCAGACATAAAACAAAGAGAGAAAAGGGAAATGATGGAGTTTGAACAGCTTTATGTGACAAAAGTCAACTCAAAACCTAAAACTCTACATCTAACATCATAGTGTCAGGAGGGGGTTCAGGAAAGAAACAGGGGAAAACATAACCGAACAACTAAACTCCCCCCAAATTTTATTTAGGCCAAAACAATGAGGCCAGTGGAATCGTGACTAACTCTTTAAATGAAAACGACGCATTAGATCACCAGAGACGTCCTCATCAGAACTCTCCTTTGGGCTCAATGTTGCGATATAAGTTCAGCTCCCAACAGAGGCTTCAAAAGTAAAAAACAAAATATCTTAGATCAAATGGGAATGGAGGGCAATGGTACATTTTTTGTAGAGAGAAAGTGAAGAGTGAAATTATTTATTTTATTTTATTTTTTTACTTTTTCTGAGATGAGCTTATCAACTGCAAATGAGCCAAAGAAAATAAAGCTACTGGATGTAACCCAAGTTCTCTGAGAATGTGAAAGGCCTGTGTTGAGATAGAGTAAAAAAAAGTTGTTATCCATCCACACTATTATTAATTATCAAAAGAGTACATCTGCAGGAACACACAGATTCTGTTTTTTTTTTGTACTTGTCATTGTTCTACCAACAAAGGAACTTCTTTCTGTAGAAAAACTGCCAGATTTTCAACATGGCACTTTAAATTATTTCTACTACAATTAATCATAAATTTAAATAAATAAATAATAACAATTGTGACATTACCTGATAAATCGTCATCATGATCAGATGTCAAGTGGCATTTTAACATATAAATGTTCAAGCTTCCCAGTAAGGACCTGGGCAGCTCCCAGTAATCCTTATATTGCCAAATCATCCATGACGTAAAAATCCTGCCAATCAATCTTACGACCAACTACCAGTCCTCACTGATGAGTGGGGCTCTAATTTCATGGTCGAGAACTGATTTCTCTAAACACCACCCTCACTAATAGCAGTTGCCTCCTCAGGGACCATCCCATCCATCACCCGGAGGATGATGGCCCATTAATGGTGCAATTTGGAGACTAGTGTCCACATTAGCAGATGCACTTCTTCACCAAAGTCAAATACGTTACATTGACATTCAACCCTAAAGCTTGGTCCTTTTTAACTCTTTAACATGAATCCATGGTATGCTTGTTTGTCTTTGTGTCTATGGTGTATAATGATGTGATTGTGATGCTGTATTTCTGAGTGCTTTATGTGCTGCAGAACAGAAACCTGCTGTAAAACAGCAATTATGCTGAGTCAGGCTTGATTTGTAGTAATCTTTTCCTATTAAATCAATAAATCAAATCAAAATATTAATCATCATTAGTAAATGTAAGCAAACATTATATTGTGTTGTGACCTTATCTTTGTTTTGCAAAAGAACCTCGGACTTCCGAGTAGACTGTGGTCATCAGCTCAGGACGAAGGTGTAGCTCATAAGAAATGCTATATAACCTGAGATCAAAAAAGCATCAACATGTCTAAACCATGACCTTCACTGCAACACCACTAAGCAGACAACCCCAGCCTAAACTGATGCTCTTGACTCAGCCATGATCTGCATTCTGCATGACTCATCCAAACTCTTTACTCTCATCCTGAGCAAGTGGCTCCATCTGCAACCAAATGACATGTGCTTTGTGGAAAGCCTAGGCATTGCTGCATGTGAGCAATGCCTTTGTGCTCCATGTGAACGGTACTACTGTGTGCCAGGCCTAAAACCACGTGTTGCAAAAACAATGATGTAACAATGACAGGGCTCCCCCTTCATCCTATTGGCTTTGTCTTTGGCAAAACCAAAACAGTGCAATGGTATGCAGCACAGGATTTGAAATGTTTTACAAAAGAAAGCCAGCAATTATATGAAAAAATATCAAAATGTGATTATTTACTTATGCATAATGCTACTTTGATAGAATGTACAAACAGTGCACATGCACCAATATAAAGTAAAGTTTTAGCTCAAACTTATTTACACAGAGAACAGCCAATACATCAAGCTACTTTGGGAGCCACAGATGAATTTAAAAATCAAAAGTCTGCACTGTTTTACACTTCTGGTTTTACAAAAAGTAGGTTGATCTGGTTTGACTAGCAGCTGGTGTTTTAGTCTCATTCTCCTCCATCTCATTACAGCAAATCTGCTGCAGTAACAGCAGCATCAATGCAAGCTGTGGCACACACACTGCTGCTTCCAGCCTCTTTATTTCTACCACATTCTCTACCTGTGAAACCTCTTCATCTCGCACCTCGGTAAGCAAGACAGGAACACATTTCATTTGTCTAGCCAACGTCTCCAAACACACAGATGAAAGCGGATCCCACAAACTGGTTTGAAAACAAACAGCTGAGAACTACTAAACCCACCATCACAACAGACAAATATGATTTTCTGGTTGGATAAATAACAAATGTTACTGCATCGTGGTTATTTTGTAAGACTGTTCAAATATGTACCAGTATCCTCCCAGTTTCTTTTTTAACATTTATAAAAAAAATGGTCAAGATACACTATACTAGTACAACATAGTGCTGCTATACACTCACCGGCCACTTTATTAGGTACACCTGTCCAACTGCTCGTTAACGCTTAATTTCTAATCAGCCAATCACATGGCAGCAACTCAGTGCATTTAGGCATGTAGACATGGTCAAGACAATCTCCTGCAGTTCAAACCGAGCATCAGTATGGGGAAGAAAGGTGATTTGAGTGCCTTTGAACGTGGCATGGTTGTTGGTGCCAGAAGGGCTGGTCTGAGTATTTCAGAAACTGCTGATCTACTGGGATTTTCACGCACAACCATCTCTAGGGTTTACAGAGAATGGTCCGAAAAAGAAAAAACATCCAGTGAGCGGCAGTCCTGTGGACGGAAATGCCTTGTTGATGCCAGAGGTCAGAGGAGAATGGGCAGACTGGTTCGAGCTGATAGAAAGGCAACAGTGACTCAAATAACCACCCGTTACAACCGAGGTAGGCAGAAGAGCATCTCTGAACGCACAGTACGTCGAACTTTGAGGCAGATGGGCTTCAGCAGCAGAAGACCACACCGGGTGCCACTCCTTTCAGCTAAGAACAGGAAACTGAGGCTACAATTTGCATAAGCTCATCGAAATTGGACAAGAGAAGATTGGAAAAACGTTGCCCGTCTGATGAGTCTCGATTTCTGCTGCGACATTRGGATGGTAGGGTCAGAATTTGGCGTCAACAACATGAAAGCATGGAT